CCAAGTATATCTGTTTTACAGTTCCAAATTCTGGGCCCCTGGTTTTCTCCTCCTGGACAGCTAACTAGGTCATAGCAGTCTATTCTCAGAGCCAAGCCCCACACAAACACTAATTGGTTTTCACATCTGAAAGGTTGTGTATCACTTTGTCATTTCTAAATTTACGTGATGTAATCCAGGCACAAGATGGGAGATTTCATACCCTGTGGGAGGAGCAAGTGCCACATGCTTAGTTTTCCAAATATATCTAGAAACACAAAACATTTTAAAAGAGGCAGAACTTCAAGAGCGTCTTTCACAATCTCAGATTTTATCATTTTGTGGTTTCAGTAGGAAATAGCGCATTCCTATTATCTGTACAGAAAATCTCTGACACAATTTCCCATCTCTAAATTTATTTTATAAAGAAAAATAATCATTATTAGAAACAAACATAGAAACAACCAAAACCCATATCAAATCAAGTATTACAAAATCCCAACCTATAGACTGTGAACTTTATGACCAAAAATTTAAAAATAAATGCACCATTTTCAAGACATTGTTGAGGAGTCCCATGTCCATACATTAGTAAGGACTACAGGGCAAATCTTGTACCCATTTTTCAAAATCGTAATTCCATACTAAAAATTATACTTTAATTGTGTAACTTGAATGAAAGATAGGAAGCTCAAAGATCGGAGGTTACTGGTACATTGCAAAGACTTTGGGAGAGGCTGTGCAGGTAATCAGCCTTTGTAATGTTCCCCTTTGGTCAGAGCTGCTATTTCACCCTGCCTTTCACTTTCGTCTTCCATTTACCCCATCAGTTGCATCCCCTTCCTACAGAGTGATTGGCAGCTGGGTTAGCATTGTGCCATTCTCTTAACGTTTCATGTACTTGGCTATATATTGGAATCACCTGAGAAACTAACATATTCTGATGCCTGGGTGCCATCCCTATGGATTTTGGATTAATTGGTCCTGGGAGTTAGTACTTATAAAAGTTCCCCAGGTTATTCTAATGTGCAGCCAAAGTTGAGAACCACTGTCACACAGGCTGTTAAACTTTTCCTGCTGGACTTAGTCCATTAATTCTTCTTGTATCCTTGGGTTCTTTGACTTTAAGAGCCCATTGATTATTGGTCTCACTTCCTTTGCCTTCATGTACACAATTTGGAAAGGTATGTTTGGGAGGAGTAGCTGAATTCATTCTCAGATTTACTTGCAGAATTGTAAGAAGCCTAGAAAATAAAAGTATTTCCAAAATATATCAAGCTTCTGGAATATGCCACCTCCTGTGCCAGAGAAACTCAGAAAGCACAGGTGAGTTCTGGGTCAGAATCCAGCTCTGCCTTCTACTTGCTTTCCATTAACTTTGGAAAGTTGTTTGCCCTTTCTGAGCCTCAGTTTCCTCAACTATAAAAATTGAAATACTGATTTCCTAAGGTTTAATTAGATGACTATTCAAAGTGTTTAAAATAGTGCCCAGTATGCTCAGCAGTGATAGTTATTTAAATGGTAAAGAATATAGAAAATAGTTAAAGCCTATTCACTGATTAAGCTCCAAGTCAATAGTAAGTATAATTTATTGAGCCGATTTATCTAATTCTTTATTTTTTATATACAAAACAAATATTTTTTACTTATTGACTTTATTCCAATCATAACGCTAGATACTAGGGATATAATAATGAATAAAACAGACTTAATTCCTATCTTGGCACATTATTACAGCTTAGCTAAATGCTTTACTTATTCCTAGAGTTGATTTTAAGCAGTCCAAAGGTTGAGCTTGCCAGAGGGATGGTACAACTAACAAAGTGACCTTCAATTCACTTGCATGGCAAACACTCAGGGGTGTGGTAGGCTCCTAATAGAAACTTACACCTGATAGACAGACAAACACTTATCAAAATTCCATTAACAGTTTTGAAGGGCCAGAAAGCTGTAAAAAACTTAATGAGAATATCAAAGAGAACATCTCAAAAGACCTGATGGGTTTTTCACTCAGTTCAGGCAGTTTTTTTAATTAGTAGTCGTGTAGCTAGTACCTGCCTAGGTTCCTGAGGGCCAGAGAAGCGGTTCCCTCCACCTCCAATTCGCCCAACTGGGAGTGCAGCCACACCTCCCATTCTATGTAGCTCTCTTTGTATTGTAAATTCTGTGACTTAACAACATTATTGGAACTGTATTCTTTGCTTGGGTCTGCTGGCATCCTTCAATCAATTACTGTCACTACTATGACAATAGTGTCTCTCATTATAACAATCCTAAGAGCTGATATTATTATCTGTATTTTACATATGAGATTTAAATAACTTGACCAAGGTTACTGAGCTAGTAAATGGCAAAGCCAAGGTTTAACCTCAGATCTGTCTGATTCCACAGCTCATTCTCTCAACCTGTCTCAAGTGAACAAACCTCAGGTGACTGTGCTTTAGAAATATCAAAATCTGACTGTTCCGAGAAATAATTTTAGAAGCTACAAATAAAGAATTAGAAGACTAGATGGAACCAGAAGATGATGATGTGACCAAACCTAATCTAATCTTGGCCTGTGGGCTCCTTATGAAATTATTATACATGAGACACTGAAATCCAATAAAGATTGTGTCCAGTTTGCCTGGTTATCAATCAAACCTGCTGATACTTAATTTCATGACATTCCATAGATGAAAAGATTCATGATTCAGATTCTCATCTCTTCATAGCTACAGCAGCAACTCTTGTCAGACCAGTAATATGTTAATAATAATCACAGCTTAAAAAGCAACAATAACACTTCGTAGATTGTGTAAAACCCTTGCTAACTCCAGATAATCTTTCCCCACTTTCCAGATATTAAGCACATTTACCATGCTAATGGAATGGAATGTGTGAGTGGGCATGCATATGTATGTATGTGTGTGTGAGTGTACATGTGTAACTGGGCTCATGTGCAAACATTCTGGAATTCATGTAGAAGGAGAGAGATTTTTAGACCAGTCTTTTCTGGTTGTCCATGGGTTGGAAAGTGTGCCTCTATAGGGGATCTATCAGACTCACAGTGACTGCCTTCTTTGCTCCTTGACCAGAACAAAAGCCCCTGAAAGCTATGTTTGCATTACTGAACTATAACCCCATCCCCACTCCAACCACATTTGCTTAGACGGAGATGGTCATTTAATCCAAAAAGGGCCAATCACAGTCTTTCTCATAGTAGACTGCATTTTCATTCCTAATTTATTATGCTTCTGATATCTATGCCTTTTGCCATGAGACTTGGTGTTCTTCCCACTAGAGATCAAGTATATTTTTTCTCCCGATTGATGTTGGATTTAGCCTTGTAACTCACCAGTGGAATATCAGAAGACACAACTTGAGCCAGGCTTTAGATGTGCATGTGAGTTGAGCTTGTTCTCTTGAGTTCCTAGCCCTTGTCTATGAGGAGAACATGCCTCAGGTGGTGTGTTCTTTTATGCGCTCATCCAAGAAGGGTAAGAGACATGTGGGGCAGATACGGACACAATCTGCAGCTCAGAGTCAAGCCTACCCAAAACCAGCCCACAGACACATAAGCAAGAAATAAATGCTTATGTTTGTATATTCCTGTATTTGGGGATGTGTTATTGTATAGGATTATTATAGTAATAGGTAACTTATATATCTTTCCTTGAAACTTTACAATTATGCTGAGAGACAAAGAGACTGCTTATTGGGAACTTCAGTATTTAAATAGTAGACCTCGCTATGGAAAAATACTGATTTATATTTCTCTTTTTTGATTTACCCCTTTGCTTAATTGTGTGTGTGTGTGTTTCCATTGAGGTCAAGTTCATACAACATAGAATTAATCATTTTAAAATGAGCAATTTAGTATACTCACAATGTTTTATAACTATCACCTCTATCTAATTCTAAAATATTTTCATCATCCCAAAATAAAACCTGGTACCCATTAAGAAGTTACTCCCAATTTCTCGCTCCTCTCCAGCCCCTGGCAACATCAATCTGCTTTTTGTTTTTATGGATTTACCTATTTCTATAGACTGGATTGTGCCCTTCCTCATATTCATATGTTGAAACCTTAATCTACCATGTCATTGTATTGGAAGCAGGGCCTTTAAAGAGGTAATTAAGGGCCTTTAAGGAGGTAATTAAGGTTAAATGAAGTCATAAGGGTAGAGCCCTGATACAATAGAACTGAGGCCCTTATGAGAAGATGAAGAGACACAAGAGCTATCTTTATGCCACATGAGGACACAGAGATAAGATAGATTTCTGTAAACCAAGAAAAGAGCCCTCACCAGAACCCAGCCACGCTAGCATCCTGATCTTGGACTTTCAGCCTCTAGAACTGTGGGAAAATAAATGTCTGTTGTTTAAGGCCATCCAGTCTATGGTATTTTGTTATGGCAGCCTGAGCTGACTAATATACCTATTCTGGATATTCATATAAATAGGGTAAAACTCTGTGACATTTGTGTCTGGCTTCTCTCACTTAGCATGTTTTCAAAGTATATCCATGTTGTAGCATGTAGCAGTATTTTATTCCTTTTTATGGATAAATAATATTCTACTATATGGATACCACATTCTCTTTATCTATTCATCTGTTGATGTACATCTAGGTTGTCTCCACCTTTTGGCTATTGCGAATATTGCTGCTATAAAATTTTTGGTTCTCAGATCCTCAATGCTGTTTTTCTGGTTCCAACATAGAAATTCTTCCTTGGATTCCATAAAATACCCCAGAATACATTCAATAAATTCATTTTATTGTTTTTGGATAGATATTTCTTACTTAAGCTAGAGTTAATGGCTATTACTTGCAACTTTGAGGACCTAAACTACAGAGAATAAAATTTCTAGTTTTTGAGCATGATACTATAAGAAAAAATGGTCTCCAAACTCCTCTTCCAAGTTTTTCGGAGGGGTGGTTAATCCTCTGTTGATAGTAATATCAAATCAGGTTATTGTCTTGATAAGATCCTGGAATATGGTTTTACTGTGAGACTGTTGATTAAATTATCACTTACCTTTGAGACCAGGCAGCATAGGACCTTGAATTGAGAGCATATTCCAATTCAAAACGACTCCTTAATGCTGCCACATGGTTGCGGCTAGGCCCTCCCCGGCTCACCAGGCAATCAGACGAAGAAGAAGGTGAGAGAGACCCGCTGCTGTTACTCGAAGCAGGAGACATCAGCTGAGGGAAGAAGAGGCAGTTTCAATCGTTTAATATATCCAATAGGCCGAAAGGCATAGAATAGAATGTAGATTTATTTTGACTTTCTATCCTAGGATTCCTCAGATTTTAATTTCTATTCATTTCAGCTTGCTTCTGGCTTTTCCTTTTAGCCTCTAATGGCAACATCTGGCTAGCTTAATTTACTTTTTTGACCCAGTTCTATGCTGAAAGCTGGCTTGTTAAACACATGCTCATCTTTCTGAAAACACAGTAGGCCCAAATCAGATTCATAAAATATATTTAGAAGGTTATTATTCAGTGATCAAAAGATTCTTCACTATGGCAATAAGATACATGGCAGAGTTCCTTTAAAATCATAGCTAAAATTATTCCCTTTATATGGAATGATTCCCTTCACATAAAATACATTTACACACTTTCCCAAGAATATATCTATTTAATAAGGTGAAGGATGCTTTAATGTCTGGCAAGTGTTCTCCCATAGAGAACAAGGCCAATCTCTTTGCCACATGATAGTTCTTCAGATGTTTAAAAACAGCTGTTGGACTCAGCCTAATTTTATCTCTTCTGTGATAAACATCCCTGGTTCCTCCAATTGGTTCTCACGTTACATGATTTTCAATCCATTCACCATTCTGGTCTCTCTTCCCTAATGTGTGTCCTCATTTAATTATTCCTTTAAAAGGATCAGGGACACAAGTGGGTACCATTTTCTTTGGCCATCTCACACAGGAATGACCATGATTTTATCCAGTAGCAAAACAGCCACTTCATATTCTAAATCCTAATAAGCTTGTTGTCCACTAACGTTTATGATGTTCCTAAACCATTTGATACTTTTATTATTGTTTCTTTGGCTCTGGTGCAGGACATTATATTTAGTCCTGTTAAATTTATTGTTATTAGACATGTCCTGTTACTTCATCCTTCAAGATATTGTAGAGTCCTGCTTTCAAATGTCTTCTGTCCCTCTCACTTTATTATGTATACATGCTGGGAGACCCTCCCTCCTGACCTTGGTCTAAGCCATTGACTGAAGAGTTGAAGAGTAGAGAGGATAGAGCCTCACTGATCTCTGTAAATCAAACCCCTTTAGGCTGACTCTGGTCCATTATTTAGTGCAAGCAGTCCAGTGAACTCTCTTTGCATATAGCCTGAGGGGAGAATATACTATGAGGCTTGATCATTGTAACAAGATAAGCTAATTTAGCAGATCCTACCATTGTCCCTATTTCTGGAATACACAGCCAGATCTAATGGGATATATCCTCAGGCTAGGAGCAATCTTGGCGAGTCAAACACAAAGGTTCAAAGGGAAAGGATACTTCAAATTCAAGCCTTGAAGGCATCTCTTAACACCCAAGGTCTCTAGCAGATGCTTTTGTCCACAGGGACTGCTGAAGCCCCATCAAACTTACTACTAGGTCTCCCTACATTCTATAAGTTTCAGGACCTATGAGAAGGGTAAGGTTTTATGTCTAAAGACAAGCTGTCTTCTACACAAGAGACCTCCTCTTTAGATGTTCGAGGAATGAATCATGAAATAGAGCCATTTACTGCAGGCTACAACTGGAGACCTGGAACTCCCTTCCAATAATAAACTGGGTTCCAGTGACTCTCGGTTGAGAATTTTTTTTTTTTTAAGGAAAGAAAACTTTCCTTACATGGTTCCACACTGAAGTTCACTTGTGCAATCTCAGGTTGATGCTGTCCCTTCCCCACTGTTACCCCTTCCCTCAATAAGTAGATATATACGTGATCCTATGTGTGTGATGTCTGTCTTCCTCCTTCATTAGCACTCATTTGCATTTGGGAATATATTACTTTTGAATTAGTGCTCATATTTTAGCTTCCTTGCCTATATTCAAGTGTTCTCTCCTGACCAGGTATATAGAAAATCAAGGCAATTATAAAAAAAATTAAAGCAAACAACTCCTTGATATTAAGGGAAGAAAATTCTAGTAGCCTGATTACTAACATGTATCACTTTATTCAGCACATGTGTCGTTAGAAAGCCATGCCTTCCAATTAATTTATGCATGTGCTTTAGTGATAATTTTTTCTTTTTTATTGAACATAAGTAGACAATGGCTTAATGTTTTTGCTTAACATTTCTCTGTATGTAGAAATTTCTGTATAGAAAAAAAGTAGTTAAATATTTTCTAAGATATATGTCATACTTTCAATTGTTACTTCTCAATTTTTGAAGCTGAGCATGACTGTGCCAATTTGCCTGTCTGATTATTTGTTGAAAGGGCCCGAATTCACTCTGAATTTGCCTTTGCCCCTGTAGATGCAGCCAATTCTGCTTCCCACCTAGGAATTTAATGAATAGGATAATATGAACGGAGTTATGGACTCTCCTAGTAACTTTTCATAAGTACTGTCTCACCTACGTCCCTGACATCCTTGGATATTCAGGGCTTTTCTATGGACACATTGCAGAAGGTAAAGATTTTTACCTCAATGTTGCAGAGACACTCTTCTAGTTTCATAACAACTTCAGAAAACTCGGGTCTTCCCTGTAAATAGAAAAAAGAACTTTTTTTCCCCTAAGAATAAAAGGAAGGAAACTCTCTTTGGATTTTAAAATTGGGTATTTGCATTTGTAAAGAACGAGATTAACAATAAAGTATATTTTTATTTAAAATACACGTGTATTGAAGTGTTAATTGAATGTTCATTTGCTGTTCATGGAGGGATGTTGAGTCTCCCTCTGATAAGAGTTTTAAGTCAGAATTTGCAACTACATTCAGATAATGAAATAGTGGAAAAGCTTTAATTAGCTTTGCATGTTTTTAAATGGCAGGTTCTCCTCCTGAAAATGAAAGAATAAAAGTGAATACTAAAAACTATTAACTATCTCAGTGCCTTATAATGTACTGAACAGTGTGTCTGTAGGAAGGAACTGCTAAAACTAATTTTATAATTATAATAGATTCACTTTTGAAAAGATCATCTCAGATTCAAAACTAAGATCAAGATAGAAACCTCATGACAATGCCCTATTTTAGGGTTTAAGATACTCTTTTTATTTTCAAAGACTGCCATTAATGATATTGTCCATCATGAACCTCTGTGTCAGATGAGTTTGGTTTTTTATAAAAAGCATTTATTGCATTCTGATTATATTTCAAGTTTTGTTCTAGTTGCAAGGGATATAAAAATGATTATGGGAAAAATTCTTGGAATTTTAGAAAGTGTTGGCCTCTTTTGAAGAAATTATATGCCTCCTTTTGTCAGATCCTAAGGACTATATATCATACTCATTTCTCCCTTTATGAAACTTTCACTGCCAGAAGGTGAAGAGCCTAATTTAACATTCAGGCACAGTAACCAACTAATTTAGATTCTTAGAAGAACAATTTCTCCCTTAATATCTAACCCTCCCCTGAGGACACTGCTTCCCCCAGAGCCCTCTCAAGTAGAAGCTGTTTCCTCTTGCACACTCCTTGTACCTCTAGGGCGGTCAGTGGAGATGGCAGTGGGGTGAGCCAGGACCTCTGTCTTCCTTGCTGTCACTCCTACTTCCAATGGTTTCTCCAATGAATACCACCAGCTTGTCAGGCTGTACCACCCAGTGTGGAGTCACTCTCCATCAGGTTTTAAGGACTGGCTCACTGTCATGCACTCTAACTCTACTGTTAGAATCACTATAATAGTTTGTCCTCTGGGCTCTTTTTCTCTAATGAGCTTGTCTTCCCATCTCCCTTAGTCTCTCAGCTCCAAGGTTGTATGCCCTTGCGAGACTGTCACTACCAATGCCTGCAAACCCTCCCTGTTATCCAACCTCTCAGTCTTCATCAGATCACTCCCTGGGCTCGGTCTCCTTTCTCTCTAGCTCACTCCTAGAAACCTGACTCCAACAATCTCTGACCACACTGGTACTTACAAGCCATTTTACCACTTTAAAAATAACAAAAACAAACCCTTTTTGCTGTTAGCATTTTCAAATATGCTCTGAAGTAGATATTATGTTATCGACCTATTTGTCAATCATCTACCATTTCCCCTACTCTTTCTGCTCATCTCATCTTTTCGCTGTCACTCACCTCATTTTCTCGCTTCACCCTCACCTACCTTAGATTTCACTGGCAAATCACTTCCAATTATCACTCCCTTCCACATAGCCTTAACTCCCTTGCCTTATCTTGTGTTTCGTACACTTGAAAAAATTCCAACCTTCATTAAATCCATCCTGTCCGGTCTCACTTAGAAATCATGACCCTCTAACCTCAAGTGCACCCTCGGTACTGCCCAGAGAATCTATTACCTGTTCCTAGCCCACTCACTCTCTCACACTCCAGATGGCTGTTTTGGGCCTTCTCACCTCTCCTCAAACCTCCAGCTCCCCCTACTACATTGACCCGATCACTTATGTCTAAACCGACATAATCTTCCTTCACCTTTGTTTCTATGGATGAACTTTGCCTGATTCGATCTGAGGCCCACTCCTTCCCTTGTGTGCTCCAGTAACAATTTTCTCTTCTAGATTTTTACATTGTTGGCATTCCCTCTCTACTGTTTAATCCCTGCCAGTGTACAGACATACTATCCATTCTCTCTTAAACACAATGAAATAAAACCCTTGACTCTTCTTCAAGCTATTGCTCCATTTCTCTGTTTATCTTTAAAGCAAAATTGCTCTACAGTTGTCTAGATTTGCTGTCTCTAATTCCCCTGCTCCCATTTGCCATCCACTCTAATCAAGCTTTCTCTCACAACACTCTGCTGAAACTGCTCTTATCAAGGTTACAAAGACCTCCTCATTGCTAAATTCAAAATAAGTCTCAATGCTCATCCCACTTGGCATAGCATTAAATAGAGGCAATCAATCCTTTGTCCCTCAAACACTTTTTTTTCATTGTCTTTGAGGTCATTATTTTCTCTTTGTTCTTCTCTGCTCTCACTGGCTCCTTCTTAGTCTCCTTTATGTTCCATTGCTTTCCCTTATCTTTAAATTTTGGATTGCCCCAGGACTCAGTCTTTAGGTCTCTTCACTACTCTGTTTAGAGTTAATTTGTTGGGAAGTTAATTCCACCTTATGCCTTTAAAAAACAACTCCCAGATTTCTATCTCTAGATCAGTACTCTCCTTTGAACTCTAAACTCACAATTGGTTGCATTTATAGTCTTTCCATTTCAGTAAATGGCAGCAGCCTCCTTTTACTTGCAGAGAGCAAAAACTGCAGGATGATCTTTGACTTTTCTATTTATCATACTTGCACCCAATCCACCAGCAAATTACATTGATCCTGCCATTCAGAATCTGAATGTCCCAGTAGCTTACATTAGATCAACCTTCCCACAGGTAACAACCATAAACTCTGGACAAAATGTAAAGGACAGCTACCTGAAGGCATTGGAGAGTGAATGAAAGCAGGTAGATCTTGGAGGGGTGTCAATTAGAAGAAAGGAAGGGGATGGGGTAAGTTTCTTTTTTTTTTTTTTTAATAGCATTTAACCTGAGGGTAGACCACATATGCCTTTTAGGACACAGTTAAAATTCTGATGGTTTGGTTGCTTGGAGAACCAGAGAACAGAATTCAAGACAACCCAGAATGTGTTAGTTATTGTTTTGTAAGAGATTACCACACACTTAGTGGTTTAAAACAATGCTCTCCAGAGCCCAGTACAGAGTAGCCAAGTCTTTTGCTCAGGGTTTCACCAAACTGAAATCAAGGTGTCAGCTGGCATTGTGATTCTCATCTGAGGATCAGAGGCCTTTCCCAGGCTCACTGGTTGTGGGAAAAACTCATTTTCTTGTGGTTGTATCACTCATGTCTCTGTTTCCTTACTAACTATTGTCTAGGAATGACTCTTGGCTTCTACAGAATGCTCATGGCTGCCTGCCACAGGGCCCCTGTAGTCCACAACATGGCTCTTCACACTTTCTTCCTGGCTCGTGTCTCTGACATCTTCCTTGGTGACCAGCTGGAGAACATTCTCTGCTTCTAAAGGGCTCACCTTATTAGGTCAAGCCCACTCAGGATAATCTTCCTTTTGCCATATGATGAAACTAACAGCTTATGCCCACGCTCAAGGGAAGGGGATTATGCATGGCATGTGTACCACAGTACGGGAATCTTAGGGGCCACCTTAGAATCCTGCTTATTACAGATAGGCACAGAAAAGTGAGGGGAGATCCTGGAAAAGGAAACCCTGGAATTTTTATATAAACTCTGCTGAAATCTCTGGTTAATCCCTGGAACACACATGCATTAGGTACACTCTAACCAGCTGGGTAGGGATAAAAGAAATGAACTGAGAGTGGATCACCTGCTCCACATGGGGCATTGTTCTTACTATTTTCTCAACTGGAATGACATAACTCTAATTCTCTGCCTACAGACATCCACTGTACTCTCAAGCCAACTCACAAGCCACATCCTTCTTAAAGCATCCAAGTGCTTCCACAAAATAATCATTCGCTTCTATTTAGATTTGCTTCATTCTTCGTTTTGTTATAGCTAGGTCTTTACATATCTATATCACTAGCTAAAAAGTGCTTTGAGGGTAAACGATCATTTATTTAATCTTGTACACCTAGCCTGTTCCACCAGATAGGTTATTTGAACTCAAGTTTGTTAAATTAAATTGCATCATTATAGTATTAAATGAAACACCATCCAGAATTTGCTTACCTCTCATCCTTGTCTAAACTGCATCATCTCTTGCTTGTATCGCTATAATTGCCTTCTTACTATTTTTGCTGCTTCTGTTCTTTGCTTATTTAAATGTATGTTCCCATACATTTGATCACAGTAGCCAAAGTGATCATTAGATATATACTTCAGATCAAGTAATGCCATTCACAAAAGCCTCTAATTACTTCCCATCTTATTTGGGTAAAAACCAAAGTTCTTGCATTCATCTGTAAGGCACACAATAACCTGCGCCTGCTAGTCTCTGACCTACACTTCCTCCTGGGAGCTCCTCCCATCTGGCCACACTTTCCTCCTCCTGTAAAACCCACCACACCCTTAGAGACTCGCACTTGCTATTTTCTCTGCAAGGACTCACTAGTGCCTGCCCCTTCTCCAGCTTTTTGCTTAAATATTACTTTATCAGAGAGTTTTTCCTTGGCCGCCATATTTAGACCCCCTAACTAATACTATCTGCTCCTCTTCTTGTTGTTTATATTCCACAGCACTTATAAGCATATGACTTAGTACATATTTTCATATTTACTTGTTTATCGTTTCTAACCTTTCATAGAAGGTGCACGCCATGAGGGTAGGGGTTTGCTGTCTGCTGCTCTGTCCCCAGTGCCAGGAGCAGTGCCTCGCAGCATGCAGAAGGTGCTCAATAAATACTCGTGGAACAAATAATAGAATTAATAAGTTTTGTGTTTTCTTTCATTTTATTTGTTCTCAAACTATCTTACTATATGGACAGAGGGTTTTATTATAATCTGCTTCATGTTTTGGGTTTTTTTGAATTATGGAATATTTTATACATGCATGGTGTTTTTAGAACATAAAATTCAAATGATGTTCATATTTCATTGGGGAGTTGAAAAA